CTACATCAAGGATGGTATTACAAGGTTAGTAGTACAATGAAGATAAACACATCCACCCCCACCCTCCACAGTACACACACTATACAGTCAGTATCCACTGATGTCTGAATGCTTGTTATACTACATCAAGGATGGTATTACAAGGTTAGTGGTACTCTGGTACGATCACGGTATACACCCTACCCCACCCCCACAGTATACACCATAAACCCTATAGACACACACCCAGTGCACACCGACACATACAGTCRGTATGCGCATTTTAATCCAAGTCCATTACCATGGTGATATTTCAGGGTTGGTAGTGCACAAGCCCAGAGTCATCAAGATGTCCAGCTCAGTGGGACACACATCTTGGATGAACATTGTATCTTTGAAAATACCAACAGTAAGTGTTTGCTTAAGCCTAAATTCAACCGTTAAAATCTGTATCGTTATTCTTGGTTTGCAATCAATCCCAAGAGAGCACAATAACAAAAGAGATATCTGCCATGTTGGAAGATATAACAAAAGAATTCATTGAAAAATCTTTTGTCAAATTCTTCCAACATGGCGGCTATGACGTCTATTGCAAACGAAGAATTGAAAAAAGAAAGGTGCTCTGGCTATTAAATGGCTTTTCCACGCTGGGCCAATCAAAAAAGCGATACAATTTAGCACCATCCAATCACATTGCTCTTGTCAGAAACGAGTGGGGGTTGGGCATTATTTGTCGGACGGGGACTGGGAAACGTTCAATCAGCTGCTCGAGTAATGTAAAAACAAGGTGTCAAGTATTTTACTTTTACAAAGATTACCCAAGATAAATTTAAATGAGGTTTAAAATAAATGAAAAATCTTATGTACAGATGGTGGGATTCGAACCCGCCTCCACCGGRRAAAAAAAAAAAATCGACTCCAATTTGCCATACCCCCTGAGACATCCGCAGAGCTGGGGCGTCGTATGGACTTCGGACCTGACGGCGATTAAATCCTTCTGCCCTTGGGTGTACGAATTACGCAAGAAAATGTTCTAGCCGAAGCATCAGGGGAGAGACCAGCCGGCCCCCAGACCATATCGGCTAATCCCTTGCATCTCTGCCACGCACGGAATCGGTTGAAAAACTAATGTCAAAAAGTCTAGTCTATCCGGTGCATTGTTTTCACCGCTATTGTTGTGCAAATTTCATGGAACAGTGGTCCAGTGGGAAAAAACTTGGGCATTCAAGATACTGAGTCAAGCCCGTTAGAGCGGGGTTAGTACCTGGATGGGTGACCTAAATATTATACCTGCTCATGGTTTTGTACTTATCTTTTCCGCTTTATTTTTAATTTAGAAAATATCGTTAATTTTTTTACATTTCTGAATCCTTTGAACAACATTACACTTTAATTACTCTGACCACATTTTACTATAATTTCCGTGTGTCATTTCAGCTTTCATGCTTCACAAACAAACTGACAGTCTTTCTTACTAATTAAGCTTTATTATGCAGTACCCTAGTAATTGAATGGTTTCGAGTTCAACAGCTGTCCTGTGTTTTTCTCTGTCTTCTCTCGTTACGAACCAGTTATTCTGTCAATATCGTATCTTAGTGTCAATCGTCAAGTAATAATTGCAGTAAAATTTAAAAAAGTTGTCGCAAATGAAGCCTTCATCAGCACGTACTATACTAAGCAATATATAATTGCATTTCGCGAGAATCAATTAAAAAACAACGCAGTTAATTCGGGCTTAAAATAAGCTGAAGTTAGAGTGACACTTTTCTTGAAAAAAGGAAGGATATTTCATCACTATGATTGAATTTAATAGGATCTTCGGAGTTATCATAATTAAAATGTTCTAGACACGTTTTTTTTTTTTTTTTTGCCCTGATTGTAGTACTAATATTCTCCCGCGCAACAGACCATTCTCTCTGCTAATGGACGATTGCGCGCTCATTATTCTGATATACCGTGACGTCAGAACAGTAGTCTAAAGAATGAATTGCAAGAATTTTTTTGAAACTAATTTTTCTTTTAAGAAAAGAACTATTTGTATAAAACTCCTAGACGCTCGCTTTAGGATGTGTAAGCTTTCAAGAGTGCGCGCGTAATTTTTAAAACAATTACAGAAAGACAAACCTCAATTAAAGGATGAAATACGAAAATATTTGAATTTGAATTTGAAAACTTTCCTTTAACCTTGTATTTAAACTGATAAAGTGTTTTTTATTTGATATTTCCATTAGATGTTGTCAAGATTTCTCCTTGTGAAAATAGCCGAACCTTCGTCAATGGAAAACTCATTTCCGAGATCACAACTCTCAAATCAGGTGAGATTCAACTCTTTGTCGTTCAATTGGCAGGCTTCCTTTTATATTATTTTCCATTGCTATAATTTACTAAGCTTTGTTTTGCCAGCTGCTTCGTAGTTTTAGTAAGTTTTATTGCGATTGACTTTATTGAGCCATATTATTTTATTTCATACGTATTTTTAGTTGTACATATGAGCATATGCATATGAAATATGCGCGTTATAAGTAATAAATTTATTATAATTTATTACTTCGAGTTTGGAGCCCCTGGGGGGTAGGGGTTGGGGTATGGTTAGTCTAAAGTCAGATTCGCTTAACGGAGAATTCTCACAACCTCAGAGTCGGAGAGGGGCTGGATTGAACTAGTCTTCAGAGTACAGAATTACGATTTATTAAGGGAGGGGTATCGTGGTGTCATAAGCAATCAGTGGAACACAACAGAACAGTGTTTCCATCTTACGATTAACCTTGTGTTTGTCCGGATGGTATAGTAGAATATTATTCGAAGAATTAGTTAGAAGCAATGTTTATTTTACGTCTAGATCATGTTGAACAACACTGGGGTGTTTATTTAGACGCGTTGGTGAAAACAATTGTCTTTGGGGAATTTCTTTTAGCGATCAATCAAGATAAGACTTCAATTTTATTAAAACTAGATAACTATAATGAATATGCTTTAGATATGACCTTTGTTAGTGTATAATGAGAGGTTTGTTCACGGTAATCAATGCGGTAGAAGCTTGCGGTGGATATCTTTATTCCTGCCCGGATAACGCGCTAAACCTAAAGAAATGATTATTACTAAACATGGTGTTTAGAACACTAGGGGACAATAACAAAAACAAAACAAGCTTTTGTCCCAAGATACTCAACTCTTTCAACTTCTGTTCTCTTTAATGGAGCTTTACTCTATGGGGTTTTCCCTGCCCTGGTTTAAAATCTCAGGAGGGAGGAGTGAGGATAGTTTCGTCATATGGATATCAATGTTCAGTGTATTCAGGTTTAGTAGCGTGTCTGCTATCAAGAACGAAGAAAATACACAGTGAGCCGAACCACGATACTCTGGTAAAAGAATCCTAAATAGTATATGAATGACAAGGCATTTGTAATATTTAGGCTAACCAAGTAGTTGCTTATTTTATTACTGACAACATATTGCTCTATTATAGTTTTCAATATCATTAGTAGGAACGTCACTGTTCGGTGAGATCAAATGAAGACAGGTCTTCAATTGCTGTCGTTTTTTGTTCAGTTTATTTACTTTTTTCATTCCCGCACGAGTAGAATCAGTATGCTGATGAGAATCATATTTTTTACCTTACGTATTTCATTATTCTCAATAGATTTCAGTTAGAATCATATGGTGCTAATGATGAATATAAGTTTGAACACTGATAGTCTTTAAAAAGGAGTGTTAATAAAATAGCTACAATCGTCGTCTTTTTGACAGCTCGACTAACAATTCCTCCTCTCGCTTCCCCCTCATTGTCAAAGTGTCAGTTATACTAAAATAACCAGCAGTCTTCATGGAAAGGCATTTAAACTTTGAAGAATTTTGGCATTTTTCCGGAAATCCAAAAATTCGCCTCAACGAGTCCTTATTGCTAGTATACCTAATATTTGACTATAGTTCACAATATTATTATCATCGAATACTGGCCGCAGACCACGGGTAAACAGAGCAGTTCATTAATAAAGCTGACTTGTCCATAGTTTATTCATACTCTTGTGACGGCACTATATTTCAAATGCCGCGACAGCGCGAGTTCGTTGAGTTAACGCAAAGGAATGAGAACGGAGAGTAACTTTACAAAACAATTTATTGAATCGCACGACTGAATAATTTTAACTAATACAACTTGAAATCGTAAATATCACACGCTAGGAAAATAAATATC